CTTCATGGGTTTAAAAACAACAATAAAAATAACCACCTGGCCGGGCACAGTGGCTCACGCCTGTAATCCTAGCACTCTGGGAAGCGGAGGCGGGCGGACTGCTCAAGGTCAGGAGTTCGAAACCACCATGAGCAAGAGCAAGACCCCGTCTCTACTATAAATAGAAAGAAATTAATTGGCCAACTAATATACATAGAAAAAATCAGCCGGGCATGGTGGCACATGCCTATAGTCCCAGCTACTCGGGAGGCTGAGGCAGAAGGATTGCTTGAGCCCAGGAGTTTGAGGTTGCTGTGAGCTAGGCTGAAGCCATAGCGCTCACTCTAGCCTGAGCAACAAAGCAAGATTCTGTCTCAAAAAAAAACAAAAACAAAAACAAACCCCACCTATGCAGTGTGGTTATAAGGATGAGAGTTTAATTTACGTAAAAAAGAAAACAGAATGCTGAATAAATGGTAGTTCTACTAGTCTGCTATATTCACAAAAACCTTAACAGGACAGTATATGGTACCCTCAGGAATGTAATCACAATGAAATTTTAGTTGGACCAATCCTTTAAAAAAAAAAAAAAAGGACAGTTGAAAAACAACAAATAGTAACAACTTGTCTTCAGCTGCATTCTGCTTGCCCTCTGCAGTGTTCAATACCAATCCTGTAGTCACCACCACCACCACCACCACCACCTCTCTCAGCTCCTTTGATAACATATTCTGGTTTTCTGGTCTCTGACCAAATTTCCTGTGTCCTCTTTTGTAACTTGCCCTTTATTGACACCCAAAGGCAGGCATTCCTTTAGCTCAGTTCTCAGATCTTCCCTTACCTTATCATTCTCAAGGCTTCAATCAGTATCTCTACAGAGATGACCTCATGACCTCTATGTCACATTCAGAAACGATATTTCAAACCCAACTTACCCAACTAGACATCTGCTATCTTAAGATGACCAAGCATATAGCTTTAATTTCTCCTCCCTGTCCTCTCCATTGTTCTCTTACACATTGCACCAATCCTCCATTTCCTCTTCTTTTGCCAGAGTTACCTCTTTGATCCTTCGGTTCTACCTCAGTGGTTTTTCAACCTTTCTGGGATAATGGAGCCCTCTGAAGACCTATTGAATGCTATGGATTATTCACCAAAACAATGAATATACAAAACACATGCTAGCAATTTCACCTGGCCAACAACCCCAAATAAAAATGTATGCTCATCCATGCAAAATTTTAACTATCATTTACACAAATTTTCATCCCCATCGCCTGCTCCCCTCTTACACATTTCTAGATGCCTTCTGGATATAGTCTGAATGGCATACAAACATCACAAACTTAACAGGTCCAAACCAGAACTATTTCTCCTTGACAAATCTGCTCTGCCTAACAGGACTCCTTCTCTTGGATAATGGCACCATATCCTCTCAGGCTCCCAAGGGAGAAGCCTTGGAACGAACTATTTGGTATACGCCTATACCAAATCAACCACCAAACTCTGTCTTCTAGCTCAGAAATCCCTCTCAAATCCAAATCCCACCTCTCTTGGTATCTTACACTTTAGGGTCTCATCATCCTCTGCTTCCACTCACACCTGCCATGATTAAAAGTCTTTTTATCACTCTTCCCACAAAAGCCCCTGTTAACTGATTCTATCTACAAAAGTCCCCTCACCTCCACTGGTGCTTTCCACTGCCACTGTATTACTACACCTCTAGATGGTCACAATAGCCTGATTCCCCCACTCCAGTTCTGTTTCATATCATTTCCACCAGTGTTGATGGATCGCCCCCCAAAATTTCAAAATCGGCCATGTGAATGCTTCCTTCAAAAATATTGATGCTTCCCCAGTGCACAAATGTACAAACTCAGTTTTGGCTTTGGAGTCCTCTACAGTTTCCCACCTAAGTGCTTTTCCAGAATTAGACTTCACAGCTCAAGCTGTCACTTGCTCCTATTATCTGTATATCAAAATCACACCCACTAACAGGTTCAACTCAAACCCCGTTCTCCCTCTTTATATCTTCTACATGATTAGGAAAGGACGCTGAGCAAAACAGGCACAATTCCTAATGAAATGATAAGGAAATGGGGGGGGGGGAATGCTACAAAATGGCTGGAAATCCTTTCATAGGTGGGGAACCTGTAGCCTTCTGTTTTTTGTTGTTTTTTTTTTACAATCCATCAGATCAAAAGTAGGCTTCTGATTTTAAGATTGTTCTTTTTTAAGCACCAAAGAAGTAAAAAAAGCTTCATTTTTCTCTGCTGTATCCCTTTTAATAAAATGATTTGTTCCATAAAATTCAGATTCAGTAACAATGCCACACGTAAGGACCTAGAAGGCCAAAAGCCACAGGTTCCCCACCCCTGCATGAAATCCTTCTGCAAGCATTAAGTTTTTTTTTTTTTGAATCAGAGTCTCACTTTGTTGCCGGGGCTAGAGTGCTATGGCGTCAGCTTAGCTCACAGCAGCCTCAAACTCCTGGGCTCAAGCAATGCTTCTGCCTCAGCCTCCCGAGTAGCTAGGACTACAGGCATGTGCCACCATGCCCAGCTAATTTTTTATATATATATATATTTTTTCAGTTGGCCAATTAATTTCTTTCTATTTTTAGGAGAGACGGAGACTCACTCTTGCTCTGGCTGGTTTCAAACTCCCTGACCTTGAGCTATCCAACTCCCTGACCTTGAGCTATCCGCCAGCCTTGGCCTCCCAGAGTGCTAGGATTATAGTCGTGAGCCACCACACCCAGCCAGCATTAAGTTTTTTAAAGATTGCTATTCAAATATTAACATTTCAACCAAGAAGCCCTCCATTAACCCAGCACTGTTACTCAACACATATTAAACACTAATAATGTGCAATGCAGAAGATTAAATTAATAGCAGGATATATCATCAATCTGATAAAAGTCTATAATCTGGGCCCAGGATTCAAATTCCAATTATATTTCTATTTTACTTAGGAAAGGAAAATTACAGCACAAGGACCTAGCATTTCAACTAGAAACTCAGAATATTGACTAAGTCTACAGCAGTGATAGAAACAGTTCCCAGATCTAACTCATCTGCAGACTAGTAAAAATCTTATCAGATGGGAAAATCTTATCAGGCAAGGGACAATCTTTTCAACTGAAATATTCGAAACCTAAAAATTTTTTCCAGTCCATATTTTAGATAATTTTTTAAAAAGAGCTAAAGGATGTGAAGGCCAATTCTGAGCCTCTCATAATGAGACCGGTTTATGGGTACACTTACCAGCAGGTGCAACAGCAATAAGATGTATCACAGAGAAGTGATGCTGTGGGCAATGCTTTCTCCCCATTACTTTTTAGGGCCTTATTTCTTTGAGGCCTGACCTAATTTAATTTCTCTTTGGTGAGTTCACACTAATTTTCACAGTTGTATTCTGTGAAGCATTTTGTTCCTAAAGAAAATGAAAATATTCAAGATTTAATTAAAATCTTTTTAGAGAGAATTTTAACTAGTCTTTCTACCTAGCTAAGATACTTAGTAAAACATGCCTTCAGTGGCATTTCTAAAATTATGACCATTCAGATTCGAATACATTTCTGAAACAGACGTGGTTATAAGAGTAAAATACACTAAAATTCTGAAATTATTAATAACACTAAGGAAAGTTGGATGTCATGAAAAGAGCTACACCTTTTTTTTCTTCCTTTTATTTCATCATATTATGGGGGTACAAATATTGTTAGGGTTACAAATATTGCCCCTGCCTCCCCTCCTTCCCCCCCCATGTGCCAGAGATTCAAGCGTGTCCAATCCCCCAGTTGCACCTTTTTAAGTAAAATCTCAGTCTACAATTCAGTTTAACTCTTTAGTTCTATGACCCTAGGAATTTGCTTCACCCTGAAATACTTTCTCACCTGAAAAAGGGGATAACACTATCTTTTTCCTCCCTCAATGTGGCTGTTCAAATAAAAGGAAGCAATGTATGTAGCACACAGTACCTGCCACAAAGCGCTCAATAAATTAATCTACTTCACTCAACACAATAGACACAAGAGGATTCAGATTTAAGGGAATCTACTTCCACAAGTCTTCATCAGCACAAAACACTTCATTCAGTTCATTCTAATAAAAACAATACCATCACCACCATTCCACGAATTTTTCTGAGGGACCTAGATCAAGATGAGGAGCCTGCATTTGATTCTGCAAAATTCCATTAAGGTTGCGTATATATTGACCAGTAGAACATTAACAGGAAAAGTCCACAGTAATTGAGCTAAAACGTCTGGATGCACTGATGCTGGTGAGAGAGCTCACTTAGAGTAAAGGGGGGGGGGGGGAGAAAAGTCAAATTAGGCCCAACTCTACACGGATCTTTAACAAATCAAGAGAGTGATACTGTTTCATCCTTCCCGAAACACCAACAGCACGATATTAATATCCATTTAAAAACAAAAACTTAAAGAGTGAAATATTCCACAACCAACGCTGGTGTCACTAATGCTTTTAGAAAGCCTGCGCAGAAGGAGAGCACCATTAGCACCACTGCAGATATTTAATGAAAGCCGTCTGCAGCAACCAGAGGCCAGGAGAGAAACATAATAATTATTTCGGTTTTCTGCACGCACCCCGAAGGGAACTGCTTTCAAGACCACGGCCGCCAAGCCTCTGATGGAATTCTGGGTTTTACAATCGGACGTCAAAAAGAAGCCCACGATGCCAGCAAATTGGTGGGTGGGGACGCTGCTCCCTCCTCGGGGGTCAGGCTTTAAACCTGCGCTGCGCCCGGGTCCGGGGTCACCGCGTCCGGCCTTCGCCCTCCGTGCCCCTCCCGCGGAGAGCGAGGGCCGGCCCGCGCAGCGCCGCGAGCGACACCTGAGCTCGGCCGGCCAGGGGCCCCGCCCGACCCCCGGCGCGGACCGCGGCCAAGCCCGGTTCGGGTTCGGGGTCGCGGCCGCGCGGGAGGCCGAGGCGCGGGCGAGGCCGCGGGCCGGCCGCTGCGGTGCCGGGCGGTGGGAGCCACGCGCCGACACTCACCACACCATGCCGTAGGCGCCCTCGCCGATGTACGAGAGGTTGGTGTAGCGCGGCCCCACGTCGAACACCTGCCCGCGGACCATCTCGGGGCCCGCGCCCGCCGCCGCCGCCGCCGCCATGTTGGCTGCCGGGCCGCCGCCGCCTCCGCCGCGCTGGGCTGGACGCTCCGCGGCCGCCGCGCAACTCCTGCCGCGCCTCCCGCAGGGACCCCGCCGCCGCTGGTGCAGCCGCCGGCGCTGACCGGAAGGAGGAAGGAGGGCGCCGCGTAGGAGAGGTGGAGAGCCGACGGCCACTCGGACCGACTGCCTGCCTCCCTGACGGACGGGCTGGCCGGCGGGCGGGCGGGCGGCGGGCGGGGCGCGCGCCGAGGAGGGCGCCGGGGCGGGGCCACGCAGCGTGCGTGCGGATTGGCTCCCGCAGCCTGAGGGCGGGGCCGCGCGGGCCGGCGGAAGCGCCGAACGCAGGGCGGAGCACGGCAGCCTGCTGGGGAGGAGCCGAGGGTGCGGTCACGTGCGCGGGCGTGGGAGTCCGCGAGGGAGACTGAGGCGTCCCCACGGGACTGCTGGCCTGAGCTGGGGGACTGTGAGGGCTTGGAGGAGCCCTGGGGCTGGGTCCGAACGGAGCCAGTGAGCGACCCCGACTGGGCGCGAGTGACCCCAAAATGACGACGCGATACCCAGTGGTGGCCAGCCTGGGACTGGCCTTTGTGAAACCATGACCCACACGTTGATACATGCAGAGGCCTCGAGACCAGGACGGAACCCGGACCGAGGCCGAGAAAGACCTTTGCATACTGAAACTCTCATGTCGAGACCAAAACGACAGACTGAGAGGAGCCACTAATCAGGTTAGTTCAACCAATATTTGTTGAGCATCCATCATGTCCCTGGGGAGCCACCCTTGTGGAAGATGCCTTCTAGAGAGAAGATATAATACAAATAGATGTAATACTCAAGCTGTGATAAGAACTATGAGGAAACAGAATAAGAGACTAGGAGTAGTGGGTTGAAACACCTGAGAAAGGCATTTGCACTCAGAGACTGAGATCCAGATTGCTATAGATGAGCAGAAATTTAGACATAAGACATCATGAAATAATAAATACAAACCTGGAATTATTAAAACCAAAACAAAAAGATTTAGAGAAAAAGAGATGGACACACTGAGGCTCAGGAATATTCACAGACACCAGAGGTTGAAAAATAAAAATTTGAATCCTGAAGCAGGTGGATACCAAGAAGAGCTAAGACAATGAGACGGAAGATTATCCAGCCACTGCCTCCAAACTGTTTCTCATGCCATCAAGGGGGAAGGGAGAGTGACAGGTCCATTGTCTGACAATTCCATCTTTAAGGCCATCACCTCTGGACTTCCAGACATCAACAAAGATCAACTAGTCAATCTCAAAGGAGAATAGACAAGTTTCTAAAACAAAAAAACCGTGGGGAAAAAAGTATGTGACACATAAGAAAAGGAATACAGTGGTAGAGTCAGAAATGACTCCTTCACTGAAAGGAGTTTCTTCACTGAAACAGAACCCAATTTTAGAAAACACATAATTCTTATACATGATTGAAAGAGGAGATTCGTTCTTTAAAAAGAAAGGGGGGGCAAGATAAATGGAGAGTACCATGATATTAAAACCACATAATCAAAGCAAAAGCAAGGGTTGAGTAGTAAAAAAAAAAAAAAGACTTGATGCAGAAGAACAAACTGGCAATATATTATAGCAGATAAACTTGAGAAAAATTTCGAGAATACAAAATAAAGTGATAGCATCCTTTAAGAGAGAAGAGAGTGGGGATGGAGAGCATCTTGGAGATTCAAACCATGGGATTCCCCAGAGGAAGACAAGCGATAATAAAATCATAATGGGAGGCTGGAGTGGTGGCTCACATCTGTAATCCCAGCATTTTAGGAGGCCAAGCTGGGAGGATGGCTTGAGGCCAGGAGTTCAAGACCAGCCTGGGCAACATAATGACATCTTGTCTCTACAGAAACAAAAACAAACAAACAGAAACCACAGTTATAAAGGGAGAAAAGTTTCCTTAGGTGGAAAAGGGTCTGAGGTGGAGGTAAGAAATTGAGTGGCTTCACTAGAATCCAGAAAATAAGCAGTAACCAACTTCAGGACATAATCCAGAAAAAGTATTACATTTCACAGATAAAGAACAGACTCTAGGTGGAGCCCTGTGGCTCACGCCTGTAATCCTAGCACTCTGGGAGGCCGAGGCGGGCAGATTGCTGGAGGTCAGGAGTTCGAAACCAGCCTGAGCAAGAGCGAGACCCTGTCTCTACTATAAATAGAAAGAAATAATTGGCCAACTAATATATAGGTGCATGCCTGTAGTCCTAGCTACTCAGAAGGCTGAGGCAGGAGGATTGCTTGAGCCCAGGAGTTTGAGGTTGCTGTGAGCTAGGCTGACGCCACGGCACTCACTCTAGCCTGGACAACAAAGTGAGACTCTGTCTCAAAAAAAAAAAAAGAACAAACACTAATAGTTTCCAATCAAGAAATAAAGGTTATCTTTTAAAATGCTAAAAACTGGCTTTCTTCAGATTCCTCCTCTGTAACCCTTAATTGCCACAGGAAAATGGAACAAGATTGACAGCACTCTGAAGGGGGAAGTTGTAATCTTATAACCCTCCCTAGGTGATTTCATTCACTCAGTGACTTAACTCCTCCCAGATCTTTTTTGTTTTCTTTTTTTTGAGTCAGGATCTTGCTATGTTTCCCAGACTGGACTCAAACTCCTGGGCTCAAGTGATCCTCCCACTTCAGCCTCCTGAGTAGCTGGGACTACAAGCCTTTGCCACCACACCCACCTTCTTCCCAGATCTTTATCGCTTAGATCTCTCCTTAGTTCCTGGTCAGCATGTCACCTGCACACTGGACAGCTCCATGTAGACATCCCACAGGGGCTTCAACACCACATATCCAAACCACCAGTGGTTAACTGCATGAGTTAACTTGTTCTGAGACTAAATCTTAGCCAATCTACTCATCACCTGTGTGACCTTGACATCATTTTCCTCAGACTTAAAATGGGGATCACAATAGTATGTGCCTCATAAGTTTGTTGGACAGAGTAAATAACATATGTGAAGAGCCTGCCACATAGTATGTTACCCAATAAATGTTATCAGTAATTATTATCTACCCCATCCAAACCTGTTCTTCATCATATACCCGTGGCTAGCATCACTTTCACCCAGACGCTCAAGCTGGAAATTTGGCTATGATCTTTAACAATGCATTTTATTAATACCTCAGTCTCCACCCCCAACCCCATCCAACCAATTGCAAACTCCTGTAAATTCTACTTTGTTAGTATTTCAGAAGTCCAGCTGGGTGCAGTGACTCATGCCTGTAATCCTAGCTCTTGGGGAGGCCAAGGCAGGAGGATCGCTTGAGGCCAGGAATTGGAGACCAGCCTGAACAAGAGCAAGACCCTGTCTCTACAAAAAAATTTAAAAAATTAGCTGGATGTGGTGGTGCATGCCTGTAGTCCCAGCTAGTTGGTAGGCTAAGGCAGGAGGATTGTGTGATCCCAGGAGTTTGAGGTTGCAGTGAGTTGTGATGACTCCACTGCACTCTAGCCCAGGCAACAGAGAGAAACCCTGTCTCAAAAAAAAAAAAAAAATCAGAAATCTTTGCTACTTAAAGTGTGATCTCCAGACCAGCAGCATCAGCATCATCTTGGAGTTTGTTGGAAATGCAGCATCAGGCCCGCCCCAGACCTGAATCAGGATCTGCATTTTAACAAGACCCCCATTTTTGCATGCATATTAAACTTTGAGAAGCACTATTTTAAACATAACCACTTCATCCCAACTGCCACTCTGCTGGTTATAGCCTGCTGCAAAGATAACCCTTCTGCTTTCAGTGTGGCCATCTGCAGCTGTTTCTCCTTATACCCAGATCAATCTTTCCATCACAGATCTGGCAATGTCCCTTCCTGTCTGAAGTCAGTGGCTCCCGATTACACTCAGAGTGAGGTCTTTGCTAACCGCCTCTCTACCCTCATCTCTTGCTGCCCCCTCTTTGCGTCCCATGCACTAGCCAGGTTAGATTACTCTCGGTTCTCTCTTGTCTTTTGATCTGTGCATGTATCAGCCTCTCTCCCTGTAGCATATTCTCTCTCCACTACTCCAGCATTTGTGGACATTTTTAAACTACCACACTCTCGTAGCATAATGCATCTGACCACTGAATTTCTCCAGAGAACTCTTCTTGCCTGGTTCCATGAGCACTAAGCAACCTTATGATTAGAGTTTATGGTTTCACTTGTGGTTTTCTGACAGGGAAAGTACCCTGGCCAGAGGACAGCCTGTTTGGGTCCTGTGGCAGTTACTGTTTGTTCTAACCTGGGGTTGAGTCTCATCAGTCTCGGCTGAGTCAGATTAGCATGAGCCAGGCCCAGAGGGAACAATCGACAACTACACCGACAACAGCAAGTTTCTGGAAGCACAGAGCGGAGAGGCAGGCTCAGGAACACTGTAAGACCATACTAAGCTACCATCTAAGCATAGGCTGGCTACCTGGATGTCTTCCTCATTGTCTCTCTACAGTGGTGACAACTCACAGATCTGCAGAATCTTAGAAAACACGGACATCTGTTATTTTTTCCTGTACATCATCAACTCCTCCTTCTCCCGGTAGCAGCAACCCAATTTCTCTTTAGTGAACTGTCCCTTCGGCATTCTCATAGGGTTCAAAGAGCTGGCCCTACCCCCAAGTTCCAAGAGGAAGCATGTGACTCAGGGCTGCCTACTCAGAATCACAGAGGTTGGCCCAAAGGGTGGGCATGTTCCCTGAACCAGGCCAGTGCAGAAGCTATGTGAAAGGGATGCTTCCTTTTTGCTTGCTTGCTCGGGTAGTAAATGTGAGTCGGGGCCAACACACCAGGATGTGAGAAGTGCCCTCTGTGAGTGGAGGCGAGACAGGGAGAGCAGCCATGGCGATGGTTTCTGGATGCCATAGTTTGAGGCTGTATTCAGCTGAGCCTGGACTTTAGATTTCAGCCACTTGAAACCATAGAGTTCTGACTAATGCACTATCCAATTAACTCCCTTTTCTGCAAAAATTGCTCAGAATTGTACAATAAATCACTGAGGCATGAATCAAAAACTCATGAATGATGAAATGAGAGAGAAGAACTGGCAATGAGCCTTGAAACTAGCTAAAGATAGAGAGATAACTGAATAAAAACACCACTCAGTAGAGACTGTTTTTGATACTGATAAGTTGAAATAATTGTTGCTATGGTAACAAACAAAATGCAAAAGCAAAAAATTCAGAAAGAGGATCTTTAGAAATAGGGTTTTTAACCTGAGATTATGCAGTGAAAACCAGGGAGGAAGAAAGAGGGTAGAA